TATTCCATTACATATATAATCATTTCTATATTCACTATCTATTACTTATTATATTCATATTACTATTCTTCTTACTTTCTCTCTATATTACTATCTCTATATCTATATTCTATATCTATATCTTCATCATTTCCTCATTCCAGCATACCTCTTCTCATATCTATTCTAATCCATTCATATTCACATCTCTCTTCCACACCTCTCTCACCAGCTCTACCTCCCATCTACTCTACATCTCCTTCAGCCTCCTCTCCTCTCCTCCCCTTTCCACACACCCCTCCTCCCCTCTCCACATCTCTCCACCTCCTCCACCTCCTTTTCACTCCTTTCTCTCCTCGTCTTTTCCCACCATCATACCGCTCCGCGGAAACCTCTCCTCTCTCTACCCTCACCGTTCTTTTTCTTATCCTTTCTCACTACATCCCTCACCTCATTCTCGTCTCTCTATCTCCTCTCTCCCATCTTCTCTCTCCACTCCGTCTCTCCCATCTCTTCGGCGCACTCCCGATCTCTCATCCCTCTCCTCATCTCTCTCTCTCTCCATCGTCTACCTCTCTCACCTCACGATCTCTCTCTCTCTCGCTCTTCTTCTCTCCACTATCTCTTCTCTCTCTTTCTCTCTCTTCTCCTCTTCTCTTCTCTCTCCTCTCTTTCTCCTCACGCCACCCCACTCTCACTCTCTTCTATCCTCTCTCCCTTCTTCTCATCTCCTTCTCTCTCTCTCTTCTCATCTTCTACTCCCACCACCCCCTCTCTCGTCCCCCACCACATATCAGGTCTCCGCGGCTCCCTAAGAGCTATGGCGGCGAGCGCATCGGTTTTCGGGGCGCTGGTTATCGGGTGGGCGTGGGAGGGGAGGGGGGATTGGGGGAGGGGGGAGGTATATAGAGGGTGAGGGTGGTAAAGAAGGAAGAAAGGCGCGGGAGGTGGAGGGGATGTAAGGTTTGCTGTCAGGGATCTCGATTTACTCTATCATACTCTCCTCTCTCTCCAAGGGTTGAGTATAACTCAGGAGGTCGCATTTCAGTGCTCGGAAGGTGTGACCGGTCTTGTCGTCTAAGAAACATACGGGTGGTAATTTTCTCGCATCGAGTCCGAAGAGCTCTCTCTCGAGAGAGAGATCACGTCAGCATGAGAGCTTCTCTCTCCTGATCCTTCGGGTCTCTGCATCCTGGTCCTCTCAGTCCTCTTGAAATCTCTTCCTCCTCTTCTCTGCATCTCGATCTTCTCTACTCAAATTCTCATCCTCGTCTCGTCTCAGCATCTCCTCCTCTCCGGTCATCGGAGGTATCGCAGTCATCGAGTCATCGAGCATCGTCTCCGATCTATCTCTCGGAGTCTCATGCCAGAGTCTACTGAGTCGCACTCTCTAACTTCAAATGATTTGGAAATTTTGGGCACAATCTTTAGTTGAATCTCTTAAATTGAGTTTCAGAAAGGTTTGGAATCTTATGTCTGGTGAGTAAGTCATTTGGGTAATACCTTTCCAGGGATAGAGACTCGGGGGTGAGCAGTGTTGTCAATAACGCTTACCTGGGTGCTCTTGTGCACACTTGGTGGGTCAACAGAGATGCTCGACTAAGAGGTGCCAAGGAAGAGGAGAGAACAAGAGAAACGATTTTGAGACAAGAGAGAGAACAGCTTATGCGAGCATCCAGATGCACTAACAAAATACTGTATTACGGGAGGATTCAAGGGTTTCTCTTGATACTATTTATCACATATGAAAGTAAAGTGTATGTAATTATAGATGGTGTGAATATTTTTTTTTCTACACGCACGCTCACACGAAGTACAACACACACAGGCTACACGACAACTAGACAGACACAAGGAAGTAGAGCACACACACCACACACACACACACCTAAACAGAAGAATGCAGACACGCACACAACGAACTTACACACCAACACACGACACTAAACACACACACACACAACACACTTATGAGCAATACACACACACACACACAACTTACACACGCAGCACAGAGAAAGATGAGATAACAGAGACAAGAAGCACTATACAAACACACACAAACATCAACAGCACAACACAACAATAGCATAAAAAATACACAGCAGAAGTTCCCAACAACACTTACACACATCATGATTTGATCGAAACCGCAAGTTAAATCAAAACAAACCGAAATAGACACACAAACCAAATCTACACAACAATCACACAGCACAACACACACACAAAAACATAAAACCTCAATGAACAAATCACACCTTATCGTGCCCTAAACAGAACTCATCACCACACAATCAATAAGGTATACACACACACACACACAACACGGCACACACACACACACACCTCACAACACAGCAACACACACACCCACACACACAACTTACACACACATGGACACTTCACGCGGAAAACACGTCAGAGATACTACACACACAGTATCACTTACAACACTACACACTCACACTCCTACAGCACACACAGAACTTTACAGCAACACACACACAGCACGACACAAAAAACACAACCAACACAACTTACTGACGGGTACACATCACACACACACATTACACACACACACACCTACACACACACAAGACATAATTCTCACACTCACACACAACACACACACTTAACACACAACCACAACACTTTAAACCAACACGACACTTAACCACACACAGCACTTACAAGCACAACATTCACACACTTACACACACACAACAAACACACCACAACACACACACACACACACACACACACACAACCGCACACTGGCACACACACACACAGGAAACACACACACAACACACACTACACACAGCACACACACACACACACACACAAAATGCTATTCCCACACGCACACAGATAACACACACACTATCAATACATCACACTCATCTGACGATATCAATTCAACATAACACTCTACATACATCATATCTCATTCCTGTTTATATGATCTCACCTCACACACCACATAGAAATCACACAAACTTTAGTATGCAGTCAATCAACGCTGTCTATCACACACACATCATGCACACAAAACACAGCATGACACACACACACGCACTACACACACACAACACACACGACATTCACTTACACACCAATGATTCTCTCTTTGATTACACACAAACTCACACGCCTGAATTAACACAACATTACACTAAGGGATCACAATGACTATCACACACTTTACACACACTCAAACACCTTATTCTAATATAATTGAAGGTTTGCAATTATTTTATTCGCCTAAGTCTGTACTACACGTTACTTACACTCTACAATACACTTACATCCAGACACTCTGTCTATCCACACACACAACCACCACACACACAACTCACTAACAATTTCACTTCAGCCACAACACACATCAACACACACACATACACACACACATACACACACACATTTTATAGTACACACACACACACACACACACACATTCAACACACACACACACACACACACACACACACACACACAAACACACACACCTCACACACACAGCACACACACACACACACACACATCACACACTTATGGCACACACTTATAACACACAACACACTTTTAACATCACACAGCTCTGACCACACTCAGCACTTACCTCTATAAAGGCCAACACACACACACCTATACACACACACACACACACACACACACACTTACACACACACTTAAGTTATACAGGCCATTTATCATTACGCATCACAAACACACAACTACTATTAGGAATCGAACACTAAGCACACATGATACGTGGCAACACACAACTACTCACCCACAACACACACACACACACACACCACACTTAAACACACACTACATACAACACTTACAACACAAGAACACTCTATAGCACGCACACACATAACACACATCACATCACACCACTTTAACTTACACTCACGACAGTCTGGCACTTACAACACATCTCTTTACAAGCATCATCACACTGCTTAGAAATACACACACTGCAGTCGCTGCAGTGCGCTCCTATACGACATTCGACATCACTTTTAGTACATTTGCGTCATGCCGCTAGTGTGTGTGTGTGGGTGTGTGTGTGTCGTGCGTGTGCGTGTTTGTGTGTGTTGTGCAGGCGTGTGTGTGTGTGTGTGTGTGTTGTGTGTGTGTGTGTGTGTGTGTCACACGCTACGTTGTAGCTAGTGACTCTGTTGACTAGTGTTGTTCATGCATGCGTACGTTTTTATATGTGTGTGGCTGTGCAGTCAGTGTGTGGTGTGTGTGTGTGTGTGTATGTCGCTCCGTAGCTGTCAACTGTTTTGGACTACACACAGTCGCATGTCACACAGTCGATCAGTACTACACACACACACACAGTGGGTGTGTGAGCTGTGTGTGTGTGTGTGTGGTCGGTGTGTGTGTTGTGTGTGTTGTGTGAGGTTGTGTGTGTTGTGTGTGTGCGTTGCGTGCGCAGCAGCAATTCACACACAAACAGCACTTCTTAGCAGTGCGATCACACACAAGCCGTCCGTCTTAGACACACAACACACACACATTGCATACTACAGCACACACAGTGGCACAACAAGTTGTGTGTGTTGTGTGTTGTTGTGTAGGATGTGTGTGTGAGCACACACATAGATCACGCACACGTCATCGCTCGATCACACACACTTTTGATCACTTACATTGATGCACACACACACAATCTTAGTCAGCACCACACTTACGCTTTTACTACACTGCACTTTACACACACCATTGCGCATTACGCTTCACGCAGATCACACATTTACACACTTACAGTCACAGCACAAGCACTTACTACAGTCACGACATTTAATCGACACACACATTTTTACGAGATACACATCAGCACACTACAGCATGCACATCTACACACACACACACTTTACACCCACACAACACACAAACACACACACTACACACACACAACACACACACACCTTACACACACTGTACCACACACACACACACTCGCTTTGGGCACACACAGACACTTACACACGACA